ATTTACACCCTAAATCAATTTCCATCTATAATGTATAGGCACTGTACCAGACATACTGTCTTAATGCTGTACCAGAAAAGTTCTCTCATATGTTCCCCTGAATCTATACCTCCCCACACAGAAGATGGAACAGTTACTTACTAGAACCAAGGGACGGCCATGTTTAGGTGAAGTCCATGGGCATTTTTTGGTTGAGAAACAGTCGTTTTGGGGTGAGGTCCACAGCCATTTTTGTTGAGGAAAAGTCGTTTTGGGGCGAGGTCCACAGCCATTGTAGAGGAAAAGTCGTTTTGGGGCGAGGTCCACTTCCATTTTTGATTGAGCAACAGCCGTTTTTGGTTCAGAGACAGCCATTTTGGGGTTAGGTCCACAGCCATTTTTGGTTGAGAAACAGCAGTTTTGGGGTTAAGTCCGAAGCCATTTTGGTTGAGGAACAGCCATTTGGAGTGAGGTCCACAGCCATTTTTGGTTGAGAGACAGCCGTTATGGGGTGAGGTCCACAGCCATTTTTGGTTCAGAGACAGCCACTATGGGGTGAGGTCCACAGTCATTTTTGGTTCAGAGACAGCGGTTATAGGGTGAGGTCCACAGCCATTTTTGGTTCAGAGACAACTGTTTTGGGGTAGGTTCACAGCTATTTTTGGTTGAGAGACGGCCGTTATGGGGTGAGGTCCACAGCCATTTTTGGTTGAGAGACAGCTGTTATGGGGCGAGGTCCACAGCCATTTTTGGTTGAGAGACAGCTGTTATGGGGCGAGGTCCACAGCCATTTTTGGTTGTGAGACAGCTGTATCTATGTTTTTGTTTGATCAGATGGATCCGAGGTTTATTATCCTGAGTGGTCTTGTTGTGCTTTCTGATGGCCATTAGGCATGCGTCTCTAAATCTGTACACCCACATCAGTTACTCCTCTGTAGGTAGTACATTCCTTTCTTCTGATCACTCTTTGGAAAGTTTAACCTGTGATTTTGAAACTTATCAAACTTAATTAACTCAGATTTTTATTTCGTATCATTAGGTGAAATACCATTATTCTATCCCAAATATTCTCTCAAAATCTGCATAATATACTATAAGTCATAAGAAAAGCGAAAATACAAAATTGATGTTTACTATTTACAACACACGCCTTTAAAAAAAATATGCTTGTATCTTGTATATATTTTTTCCCTGTTGAAACTGGGTTTCTGTTACAAGGAAGATGTGATGTAACGTTTAAGTTATTAGTCAGGAAATATGATTTATGCGTACAAGGAAATTCCTTTTCTGTAAAGTAAAAAGGGGGAACCAAATTCTTAGCATTGAATTTCTTTAAGGACAATTTGATTCAGAAAATTGTGAGGAAGTATTCTATAATAACATTCAGCCTTGTAAGAGTGGTTGTGGATTCTTCAGTGTAATAATTACCCAGGTTGGTGTTGTAATCGCTGTGAAAGGATTCCATTCAAAAGATTTCAAGTGACCACGTAATATTGAACTGTATTTTTACAAGACTTTTATTACTTGGTGCTTTTACACATGCAGTAGTTATATTCCGTAAAAAAGGCCATACAGATTTTATCATTAGTAAATATCAATTCATCATACAGGTAAGTATATATAGGTATATACCACAACATTTCAAACAGTATTTCTGAAGTTTGATGTCGTCATATAGATATATTTGTTATTGGTGACTAAAATGCTAGATAGAGTACTTTAAAGTAGAAAAAAATTTAACAAGTCATATAAAAACATGCAATTTCATTATGGATTTTGTTTTTGTTTCTTTTTTCTTACAATTTAATTAATTCCATTTTAATTTTAAAATCATTGCTTTTAAGATATCTGAAATAGTAATGACTGCAAAGGATATAATATAATGTATTGTCTGTAATGGTCTTCATTTAAACTAAATTACTTACACTGTTGTTGATTATATAGACAAAAATCCTTAGATATTCAAAACACAACTTGTATAATGATGAATAGTTTACTTTTAACATGTGTATGTTTCACAGGTAAAGGAAAACATCTGTTGATGTTGTTTTAAGTTAAACTAATGACAATGTCACACCTGAGATTTGATTACCTTTGTTAATGTGTGCACTGATTTAGCTGTAATTATAAAAGTTTACCTGGTATGTAGTGTAACATTGCTTGTCTTGCTGTGAGAGCTACTCACTGCCATCCAGGTGTTCAAGTTTCAGGATCAGAGGGATCAGGTATATATACATATCTCAAAATTGGAAATGTAATGAAATATTTATGTACTCACTGGATGAAAATTGGGTTCTGACAGCTCAGTACTCAAACAGTTTTTTCTGGGCATATTGATTCCAAAGTTGGGCGTGGTAAAAAGTCTTCAGTGCATAAAGAGAGGCCAGAGTGTTGTGGAAGCTAGGAAACAGCTAGGAAACTTATCACTAGCTCCGGAGATTATTTCAATTCTAAAACTGTTTATCATTACATTAAGGGCCGTTTTGCTCCTGAACAATTCCTCTGGATGGTTTGGTAGGTAAAACGCTAAAGTATTTTATCAAACTTACCTATCAGCTGATGAATGCTAGCTGTGTTATATAAGATTAGTTAAGTAAATAACTGGGGTTTTTTTTTTTGGTTGTGAGTGTAGTGTATAAACGAAATTTAACTTGTGTTGACATGTCTGTTATAAAAAAATTGCACACCTGAAGAAATAGTGATTCCAGATAAAGATGTAAACATACTCAAAAAACTTACCTGTCAAAGTGTTCAGAAAAAAAATGGCATCGAAACAAAATTTCTGACAATGAATGAGAAACCGAAGGAGTCATTCTGAAGTCATCAAGGACTTAATAAGAACGAGAAAAGGACTTTGATATAAAGTGCAAATCAATATCAGGAATTCATAGGAATGAGATAAGGACTCTGATTGGAGATAAGATTTTAATGCCACTTCTCAATAGTTTTCCTTCCTTAATCCAGCAAATGTTACCTATTTCACCATATTGGGCCCATAAAGTATTGAAGGCTCCACTTTTTTGAGATGTCTGAAGCTGGGACTTAGAATAACGCTAGATTTATAGATTAGATTATATAACAATTTTGATGTACTGGTAATTAGTCTAAGATGACTGGAAGGATCCAATCCTTTCATCATATATACCGTTTTATACTAGGAAGAAAAAATCAGCCCCTAATTATGTCAAATTTGCAAATTAGATAAAAAATTGCTTCCATTATTTCTAAATGATGAGTTAGAGTATTATGATTATCAGACAGTGGTCGATGCCTGTAACAAATTTGATGTGTTCCTTAGTGGTCGTTAAATCAATCTGATATTATCGGATGATGAATGCAGTATATTTGGAGTAGATTGTATCATGAGATGGAAAATTACCTTGCTTTGATGTAATTTGCCCCTTTACAGTTTCACTGTTTATTGAATAAATAAGGAAATTATTTATGATATATTGAAGGACATTTTTGTTTTACGTTACCAAATATCGATGGAAGTTTTTGTCCTACCAAATATCATTGATATTTTGACTGATAAAACATTTAGCAAATGTTGAAAATATGTTGTTTGATATCAGTTTAAATGGCACTGTAACTCTAAAACATTTTAACTCAATTAACCTGAATTTCAACTATTTGATCAGGAAGGAGAATGGATGACAGTTGCGGTAACTAACTTGTATCCACTCAGTCTGTCTGATTAACGATTTATGTATGAAGAAACACTTCGGGGATATAGAGGATTTCATATGTAAACTGTTATGTGATGTTTAACATACAAACTGCTTAAGGCTTTACATCGGCCTTCGATCCAGTGGAGTGGAGGTGCTTGATGGACCTTTATCTTATCACTGGTTAGCTTGAAATACAAACTCCGGTACTGACCAAAATAAACCTTTAAGTTGCCTATGTAATGCAAGCTGTATACCTGATAGAATTTTGAAAAAGAAAATTAAAAAAATAAATAATGCATGACACCAATCAAACATCAAATGATTTTACTAAATTATCTTTATGATAATATTTTGCTTAATATGGATTACATTTAAAAAAGAGCTGCATGTTTCCAGAATTTTTGTATTTGTATACAAAAATTCGGTGACAACTATCTTCTACACATTTTGACAAAAAAGGCATGCAATTTTGTCTGGTCAGAAAAGTGATAGGTTCAGTAAATATGTAGACATTTGCACGCAGGATTACAGAAAATGTCTAGATTACAGAGATTTAGAGTATTCAGGATTATGGCAATGTTTATTTTGACAAGTAGCACTTTGATGCATTTTTACAAGCGCTGGATTCTCATGGTGCACAAGCAATGTTGTGATTGTAATTACACGTGTCTCGAGCACATTTGTCATTTAAGGTGTCTGAATCATTGGGGTTGGTGTTTTGTTTATCGTGAGGGTGTGTGAATTAACACCATTTCCCTTATCAAAGAAATGCGTTCGACAGTAATGCCACCTCAAGTGCTTTGTTTAGCTTGTGTTGAAATCATCTTTATCAGCTAACAGAGAAATGCAAGGGGGATAACTCTGTTAGTGTTGGAATTATCTCCTACCATTTTTTTTAAACTTGTAGGGGAAAATAAAGTAATCAAATAATGCTCATTTCTTTTATTGTGTAATTTGAGAATTATCAATACTGTTTTATAACTGAAGTGGTGATTTGTCCTATCATTTAGCTTCCTTATCAATCATGGAATCTAATTTACACTGCAGTATAACTTTGGAGGGATTGTTCATGGGGATTAAGTCTAATTTCACCCTTCATCATTATCTATCAAACGTCTTTTATAAAATTGAAAATCTAACTAGTTAACGCAAAGAACAAATTCACATGTTTATATAAGGGTTAGCTGAAAAAATTAGATTTAAATCTTTTTGAGCACATAGTGCACAATCACCCAATAGAAAATTCTAACAGATTTGAATGCATTTTTAGTTTATTCATTCATTCATTCATTCATTCATTCTGTAAGCTAAAGGGAGACTATTCTTAAATTGAGCTGTTTTCTATTATAGCAGGGCCATGAGTGCCAAGACCAGTAGGAAAGAGTTCAGCCCGAAGCAGTTCATGAAACAGCCACAGAATAATGGCAATGTACCTATCACCTACCCTTCTGAACCTCCAGACGACGAGAACATGAACGAGATCGTCAGTGAGGATGTTGACTTGGCCGTGATTATGCCAGATGGCCGAGTCAAGCATGTCACTGTTAACTCAAAGTAAGTCCATCGCAGAAATTCAAGTTCTTATGTTCATTGTGTAACTGGTGTGTTTATATAGTAACAGAAAATATTAAATGTATATAGATATGGAGGAGTAGAATTTATCAATTGCCTATGTTTGTAAAAATAGTTTTTATTATTTCTTAAATGATTGCTTTAACATATTAAAAGTTACACTTAAAGTTGCTGTATGTATTTGCTGACCTGGGAGTGTATAGATATCAGATCATTCATGTTAAATGATTTTAACATGTTTATGTTGCTAATGGGGAATTTGATAAGTAATAAGCACAACACTGCACTGCTAGCCCTATTGTAATCTTGAATCTTTCACCAGCTAATGATTGGAGCAAACCCCACCCCCTTGAGGAACCACAGCCTAAATTGAGGAGCTAATAGGGGTGTTAGATTAGTATGTTCCACAGACCAGCCTCTGTATCTGTAAAGCTGTATGGTCAGGTGTAAACTTGTAGTGAAAGTCTGGTCAGCTTAATCACACATGGATATATAGCATTCAGATAAAGGCTGACTAATATAACTTTCTTTTCTGTAATAAGGGTACACAATATGCTCAGTCTTGTGATGAAATGTCTCATTAGGTTGTGTGATATACACAAATCAAGCACATACAGTATGTCATTAAGCTGACTGAAAATCCCTGCCTTCACAACAAAAACAGCTTCATGTGGTCAAGTACATTGGATGAAAAGCATTGTCAGCTTAATACACATGCAAACACTTATAATATTATTACAAAGTAAATTGGTAAAATCTAACATATCTTTCTAAGCTTTCGCCTGGCTCATCAATCAGGCTATATGTGTAACACAGGGCCATATGTTATATGTAAGTTTTTCCAGTGGAAATGAAAGTTTCTGTTGTATGTAACAATATGTTACTGTCGATATCACTGCAGACTGGGCGTGAGGCTGTTAGTAAGGCCACACTTATCAAAACTGTTTTACATGATGCTGCAAGCTCTTTTTTTTAATTTCGTTTAATTTAATATAGGCAAAGCAACAAAAATTTTGTGTTTTACACATATTTCAAAGTTAGAGGAGGTACTATGTCAGGTGAAGCAAATTTCTTTTACATGAAAGATTGTTAGAGGAGTTTGGCTAAGCAAACAATCGTACATTGTGTTCGTCTTGCTGTTTAATTGAGAACTGCTTATATCAAATGGCAAAAACAGAAATGCTGCCTAAACATTTTGTTCACTAGAAACAACACTAAATATATATTTAGCTATACCGGAAATCTTTTATGAATTCCACAAAAAAATTAACTGTTATCTATGTAAGAAATCATTAAATTGTAATATAATCAATTGCAGTACAGTGACATCTTTAATTTTTGTGAGGTTTCATATTCCTTGATTTCACGGGTTCTCTTGAGGATGGTAATTAGTTTAAGGACATTTATCTAAATAAATGTCCACAAAATCAAATATTCATGAAATAATGCTTTTTAGGAAAACCACGAAAATTTAACCCCACGAAAATATATGATTTTACAGTAAGCATTTATTAAGTGGTAGATAACATTTTCTTTGTACACATATATTCTTGATTCTCTTTCTCAAGGAAATTTTATGTGTGTTATATTTTACAAGTCTCTGAAACTGGCTCATTGTAAACTTGGCCATTAAACCATAGCAGAATCTTGTTACAGTGTGCAAAGTGAAACACAGACTTTCTATCCATTGTACAAATGAAAAAAAAAAATCTAATGGCTTAATTATGTAAATTATTCAGAAAGTGAAACATGTTTATTAGGCAGTGTAATTAAATCTAGTCACAATTTATGTGTAGGAATGGTTGTGCAGCACAAGATGAGTGAGGGAACACTGTCACCATCATATAACACTATAATAAACATGTAGTAATGTTCCATAAATTTCGATAAAGATAAATTCTTTTTTAAAATTTCATTATAAAAATTTAAATACCAAAAGGATATGAAAGTTTTTTATATCTTATTATATGAAACTACTTTGATTTTTTTTTTCTAATTTCAAATTATATTCATTTTCAAAAATTCAAAAAATTTTCAGTCATTATAAATGCTCTTCCGAAATTTTTCTTTAGTTTTTAATCTAAAGTAATGATTCAAAATATCCTAAAAACACTCTTAAACAATTTCTGAATTTTAAATCTAGTTACAAACATTCAGTCATATGAAAAAGAACAGGACTCATAAACATGTGTGGTCTATGAAATATATTTAACATCTTGAAGCAAACATTTCAAATGACCATAATTGATTTGGTAGTGCAGACAATCTTTTTTTTACAATATAGGGATGTGGACACAGTTACACTTGAAAAATCATACAGGTGCTGTGAAGGGAGGTAACTCCTGCAAGCTTGTATAACTCATGGAAGTTAAAAAAAAATCTTCCTCTTCTAATCATCTGTCCTCCAAATTGATTATAATACATAGATTTGTTTTGTCATGAAGGAAAGTTGTAGGGAATGGCTATAGTGATGACTAATCAGAATTAGGATTTTGGGGGAAATGTTTTTAAAGATTATTTTTAATCATATTTCATTTTGGTCACCAAGGTCCCTTGTCCCCTAAAACTTTATATAATTTGCTTCCTGATATGTTGTCATTAAAGAAGTATATTTCCCAGATGTTACCTATTACAAGGAAATAAAGTCAGTTTTCATGATAAAAGTTTGTGTTACAGAGACAGGGGTGTGTCAGCAGGGTCTGATATCTAGTTTCTTCATTGTTGTGTTTTATAAGGGAATACAGAACATCTGGACTGTTCTGCCTTAAGAGTTGTCTCCCTGTCAACAGTACTGTTATGGTTGACCTAATATGAAAGTCAAATACCTGGTATTGACAATGGTTGCACCAATCATACTGGTCTAGCATTTTCATAAATAAATGGTATAAGATATTCTAAACTGTCGTTGAACTAGCATTCATAATTGTCAATAATTTAGCTTTCCTAGGTGTCAATTGACTGACATTCTTGGTGTCAATGGAATTACAGTAAGTGTCAATAGAGCATGTTTTTAACATTCGGTATACTAGCATCTTAGACTTTGCATGGGCTGATATTCTTGACTTTCTGTGAATCATCATTGTTGACTTGTCATGGATTATTAGTTTTATCTGATTCTGAACTCAAAGTACTGGCATTCTGATTCTTAACTGTCAATGGATTATCACTCTCAGATTCTTAACTGACAATGGATTATCACTCTCAGATTCTTAACTGCCAATGGATTATCACTCTCAGATTCTTAACTGACAATGGATTATCACTCTCAGATTCTTAACTGACAATGGATTATCACTCTCAGATTCTTAACTGACAATGGATTATCACTCTCAGATTCCTAACTGTCAATGGATTATCACTCTCAGATTCTAAACTGTCAATGGATTATCACTCTCAGATTCTTAACTGTCAATGGATTATCACTCTCAGATTCTTAACTGTCAATGGATTATCACTCTCAGATTCTGAACTGTCAATGGATTATCACTCTCAGATTCCTAGCTGTCAATGGATTATCACTCTCAGATCCTTAACTGTCAATGGATAATCACTCTCAGATCCTTAACTGTCAATGGATTATCACTCTCAGATTCCTAACTGACAATGGATTATCACTCTCAGATTCCTAACTGTCAATGGATTATCACTCTCAGATTCTGAACTGTCAATGGATTATCACTCTCAGATTCTTAACTGCCAATGGATTATCACTCTCAGATTCCTAACTGTCAATGGATTATCATTCATTGTTGACTGTCCACTACCCATTGTCATCCTTCACTTTTTGTTGACTGCAACAATGTCATTTGACTCTCACTATATCTGTAGCCATAGTGTACAATGAACTGATATTCTTGTTTAGTATGGACTAGTGATCAATATATTACCAGGACTATCTTTATGAATTAGTATCAGTGTTTGACTGTGTGGACTAACGGATGACATGTATTCATGTGCTGAGGGAGATGGTAAATGAACTGCCAGTTTTTTGCACAGACAATTATCATGAGACCTTTCAGTTGTCCAAGAATAAGATATTCTTGTCTCAACCAGGAAATTTATTGAAGTTATTGAATTGAGCAGATATTTGAAATCATTTTCATTTGAAGCCAAAGTGAGGATCCTACAAATTATGTCCCATGGTTACAAGCATTTTTTTTCCTTCAAAAGTACAAAGCATCCATTTTTTTCTTCCTATTTTCTTTCTATAAGTCACTATACTTTGCATCAATGTCCCCATAATCCAGTCCATGAATCCAGCTCTGCCCAATTTCACACACACCCATTTTACCACAGGAATGTCGGAGGTATATTGTATCACTGGTCACAGTTTACCTACACAGACTGCCTCACATTTTATAACTCAATATCTTTTATCAACTTATCTATGGGATGAAATGAGATACGAAAAATGCCTCAATGGACTTTAGGGTACTATGACGACAACATATAAAATCTACACACTTGTCATGGAGCAATGATTTTATTTCAGTTTTAAAAAAAAAAGATTTGAAAAAAATTTTCATTATTTTTCTTAAAATGATTAAAAAAAATTTTTTGTTATTTTTTTTTAAAGCCACAACAAAGGCGCTTATAAACAAGTATTGATTTAGGATTGTTGTGAGCACTGTAGACAAGGTACTTGTATGTGGGACAGCAACAATTGCTTATCAATCATGCATAAAGTTACTCATGCAGAAGCTTATTACAAATTCATACGTTTTGCAGTAAAGTGACAGATGGATTTTTGACTTTAATAAAACAGACTATAAATATTTTTCAAAAGTAGGTGACAAATAACATATGAGAGCTGTTATCTTGATGTAAACTTGTTAGATAAAACTTTTTTTTCAAATACGAGATAAAACTTTTTTTTTCAAATACCAGACACAAAAATGTGATGGTAAGATTAATAACAAATGTTTGACAAAATAAAGTTGTAACAAAAGTTAGTGGTTTTGGAATTGTGGATTTATCAAAAATATGTTTTTAGCTTGTCGGTAATTAAACAAAGTTTAAAGTATTCGTTTTTACTTTATTTTATTTAAAATCCAAGGAGTACATTAATGTCAACATCTTGTCTTTAGCGTGAATTAGAAGAAATATTTAATTCAAGATTCCGTGCATGAACATGACACTATATATCTGAGGCAGTATTTAACCGTCGCATTACATCCCTATTGTCATGTTTGTGATCTCTAGGGTACTCTCAATTATTGTAAAGAATCATTACAGATTAAAATTTGTGACAATTTTCAAAGGGCTACTCTAACCCTTTCAGCTACTATTCCACCGTATATATATACTATAAATATGATTAACAATCAGACTAATTAAACATGCAGTGACCTACAGGACATTAACTGTGACAGCCTGACCTTACCCGTGAAGTATTAAGGATCCTGATAATATTTGGGGGCTAGTGGTCAAGGTCAATAGGTGATGGTGAAGCTGTTCTCATGTTTCCATGACCTTTAAATTTTACAAACCCATATATTTGTCTTTCTGATTACTGTAATTTTAATTGAGATAATTTGAATTGAACTCTGAAATTTTGCAACATCGTTCCTGAATATCTTAACATTTAAAGGTCAAGGTCTCAATTACCTTTGCACTTGTGTTGGAAATTGTCATTATATCATTTTTTTTTTGTTAAAGAAATAGATTTCGTATTCCCTGAACCACCAGCAACACTATGTAGGATTTTAGCTAGCTATGCCAGAATATTTCAATCATTAAAATAAGACTATGGAGAAAATTGATCATTCTTTCTGTACTTATCTTTATTCTTACTCTTTGGTCATGGGTGTATTTTTTTTTCCTCTTGGTCTTTGGGGGAATCTTCATTTCTCTTCCACAGTGGCCTTACAAATGTATCGAGCAGCTCAAAAACACCATGATCTAAAGATGTTTAAAGAAATTGGTATGCAAATTAAGGGTTTACCAAATAAGGATAGTTAAGTAGTGACTATGGAATTGGTTCATCTACTGAACGTCAATTTTTTTTATACTCACGGGGAGAAAAGTGTCTAGAGGTAAAAGTAAAAAAAAAGAGAGATCTTGCTGACGTCATATTACAAACCTGATTAAGGTCTTTGTAAAATTGTATTATAAACATATTTGTGTGAATTGAGTGTATTTATATGCAGTTCAATAAGACATCAGGAATGCCCACAGCAGAAATAAAGGCATATAGTTTCCCATTCAGTGATAAGCTATATTATACACAGAAAGTGTACAGTCTCCCATACAGTGATGAGCTATACTAAACACAGAGGGTCATGTGACTAGCAAGTGTGTATACAGTACAACAGCAATGTTACACTACCATAGGACTCCCTCACGTTACCTGTAGGGTTGTCAAAAGAACTGACCAACCGGTAGGGGCTGAAACTGACCCACCAGGGACTTTCATTTGACCCTTAGGATCTGTTCATACTACAAAAGTATTGATGGAAAATCTGTGTGGCAAATTGTAAAAACAAACATCATGTTCAAACGAAAAAAGAAGCAGGTGCTTGTGACAGGTGTAACAAATGGGACTGCGGATAGTGTTGGAAATGGACAGGTATGTTTGAGTAATATAATTATATCTTTAAGTCATCTGTACTAAATTCCTTTTTTTGTTATTTCTCATATTTCAGCATTCCAATGTTAGACCTACTGGTCAATTTAACGGCATCCAGTCGACTGAATCCGTCCGGATATTCTATCGTTCTGCTGTCAGAGGAGACAGGCAAATCTCGTGATTACAAACCAAATCAAACCATTGGATCTTTATGTGTAAAAAGCAGTGAAAGTTCTAATCGTGCAAAACGTGCCACCTTAGAGTTAAAGTCCAAAAACTCGGACAAGAAAACGTCAGTTAAACAGAGTCAACCTTTCGAGGTAAGGTAGCTTTTATTGACATATCAGTATTATTGTGTTTACCTGTTCTAAAATCGTCATCCAAATTAAGTTTATTGGGGTCAGACTTAATGAGGAACGGCTGGCGACAAGTGAAACTACTAAAATACCTTTACACTGTGTATTAGAAATGTATTCAGGTATTGTACATGTAAATGTGTACTTACAAATTGTATTACAATATATATTATATGTATGTGTGATAACACTTAATGAAATACCTGTACCATGTCCTGTAGGTGATATATAAATAATGTATTGTATAATTGATGCATAATTTGCTTTAATGAACGGTTGGTCAGGTTTTGTTTTAGATAATTTGCCTTCCAGCTCATTCTTTCCTTTCGCATGTCTGGGATTGATTGCTTGTGGGTTTTACATGTTGGGTCTGTACCTGATGGATTTTCATACTGGTGTGACCCCACTGTATATATATATATATATATATATATATATTCTCTATGTATCTCAAATCCAGTCTGTATTACATATAAGGAAGGAAGGATATATTAATTGCTTAATCTAAGGACAAGTTATAATAATAAAGCTTATTGTTTAATACTTATATCTCAATGACCTTCTGACCTAATTCATTCCATCTTCCATTCCCTCCATCTGTCAACTCCCTACTATCCATCACTAACTTACATGACCCCTTTTCATCACTTCCCTCCAAATTCCACACTTTTATGAATGGCTGCCTACACCTAAATCTTTTTCATCCCTTTTTCTCTTGTCTTCTCTAGTCACCATTCCATTATCCATTTCTAGAAATGTAAAATGATAAATTTTAACAAATGAATAATTTCCTTTTATTTCGAAGGTGTTCAATGTTCAAGAAAAAATTGGGTTTTATTGGGAAACCATGAAAATTCAGTCCCACAAAAAATATATGATCTTGCAGTCTTTATACTTTCCATACTGATCACCTGTTTTTCCATTATCCTTTCCTCATCTGTATCATTCAGCATTTCTTACATCTATAGATTTTCTGTTGGTTTTGTTCTCTTCAGTTTATCTTTTTCATCTTTCTAAGTCCTTCCTTTCCGTTGCCCCACCTTCTAAGTCCTCCCTTTCCGTTGCCCCACCTTCTAAGTCCTCCCTTTCCATTGCCCCACCTTCTAAGTCCTCCCTTTCCGTTGCCCCACCCTCCTTTGCCTTTCCTTACCCTTCCCTTCCTATTTCCCTTCTGATTTACATCATATCGTTTCTTCATATTTATCCCTCATTTTTTCTCCCTTTCCATCTATCTATCCACTTTGCAACTGATTTCTTCTTTCATTTCTGATCCATTTGATTTTTTCTTTCCTTTCCTTCTTCCTTTTGCTACCATCATGCCCTCGCTATTTGGAACTTTTTTACCCCCTACCTCCCCACCTATCCTTTATCCTCTATTGTAGGGATATGGCGTTGGTTGTTTGCATGTGTAGAAGTCATAGTTTCCTTCCTTACACAAGTGAACCTATTTGTCACTACATGGAAGTACACCTGATTGCCTTCATGTCCGTCAAATCTGGCATTTGATTTAAGACATTTAACTACAGTAAAGTAAACACTATATGTATTCAGAAATGTTCTAATAAAAAGATAAAATTACAACCTAAATTCACACTTTTTTCTTGTTGAACAAGTTTAAGTGAAAAAATATTGATTTTAAATTTTGTATTTAGAAAAGTGAAGTGTTTTGAAATTTTGAATTTATAAAAGTTATTCTTCTGTTTTAAATAAATAATATGTTATAGATATGTGAATTCAAATAGTAACATTTTTTCGATTTGATATGATTTTGACTTCTGGAATCATTTTGTGCCAAGAAATAGAAAATTCCAAATGGGATTCTTTAAAATTTATGATTTTATAAATATGATGTAAAACACATGAAATTGAATGAAGTAAGCTTCTTTCCTACTAAATACTTGAATCAGTGATAATATCTAGATTGACTTGATTGCATAGTGATGACATTTTTTTATGTAATCATGCAAATCTGCAATGCAGATGTTATGGGTTAAAAATAGAATTAAGGTCACCATATGAACAATGATAAAGAATTAATTTGAAATTGAACTTATTGAATATTCATGAGAACAGTTCTAAAACAGACTGCTTCATGAATAATCACGAGATAAAACGAGGAACATTGCTGTACCTAGTAATGACAGTGAACGGAACAGGAAATTGGTGTTGAATATTGATGTTGTCCTTTTGTAACGCTGTCGGACTATTTTCTTCTATTGTTTTTTTGTTTCATGAAGGTTTTTTTTACTTTTGTTTAACAATCTTATACTCTGTCGAGATCTGTGTCAGCAGTATTTAAAATTTTTTACATGAATCAGAAGAGTATGATATATATCAGTACATACTTAATAAATTCTTGTTTCCTTGAGTCAATAGAAGAATGGGAAGTGGTACCCCGATTTGAATCATATATTTTAAAAAAAACTTCCAGCACTGCAACTTGAAATTCCACATTTTTACCCGTTATCAGTTTTGATTTGTGGTGGAATAAGAGTTACGTCCCCTGAATGAATTGATCACACAATCGTCAGCAAATTTTGTTAGTTCTATATTGATCTAATGATGAAATATTTAAAATTTTGATAATTACGTATTTATTGCAAGTAAAGAAAATAGATACTTACCAATCATCCTATTACCTTGGAGGGAATTTAACCAGATTTTAGGCATAAACTATGTTGAATTTGAATTAGAATTTCCCTTTTGATAATTTCAAAAATCAATTATTCTATTAGATAAGAGTAGGTTAAATATGTTGTTGAAAATTATAAGCCTTATTAAAAACTCTTAAAAGTTTATATCATATAAAAATGCGCAGTAATTTTTACCATGGAAAACTTTAAGAGTACTAAAAGTTTTACCATCATGATTTAGGACAAAAGTAGCACGTAGACTCGCTATGCTTTGTGTAGAGCAGTACATTTTTTAATGTTAGTACCATAATGTTTTCATCAGAAAACAAGCCGTCAATCTGATTACACTACAGACATATTATCCTTTACTTATATACTGGATTAATTAGTGCAAACACAGAAATGTGCAATTTATATATAAACGTTTATAAATGGTTATGTATTCCATCTACATTTTCTGGCAGTTGACATAGTAATTTAAGTGTTCTGTCATTACAGTGTTTTCTATATCATAAAACTTAATCAGTCATATGGTTATTATTAGTATAATTATAAACATATTTGTGTAAGCTCATGTATGTAATTTCTAATTTTGAATATGAGACCAGTTAAGTATCGGTGAAGAATTACTGTAATGGATGGACTTTAATAATTTACATACAGTCTTGATGGGAATAGGAAAATGTCCAACAGCTACCGTAATTATCAGACAATAAGCCCATGTCTGGTAATAAGCCCACCCATAGCCATCAAATTCTGATCAGTCATTATATGAAACTACTGTTCTATGATTTCATGTTTCAATAATATGGGGCACTACAGTCCCATGAGCCATCATGGCAGAAACATAGAGTGATCTCCCTTCCTTGAAAGTCCTTCATGCAGCCCAACAAAAGGGACAGACAGACAGAGAAGGAAAGGGGAGGTTAGGGTGGGACTCCATAAAGGGAGGGAAGGATTTTTTATTCTTTTGTTTTTGGGCTGGGTCCAAGTACCATATTTGCATACTAAAGTTATGGTAATTATTACTGAAATGAAAATTATAACCACAGGTAGATAAGATTGAAGGTATGGTGTTTGCCCTGCTTGTTTTAGTTTGTGTTTCTCAAGAAGATAACATTACCAATCATCCTCTGTGCTATCAAGGTTGTGTCCTTGAGTAAAATATTATACTCTAATTAATCTGGACAGAATGTGGGTTGTCTCCTGCATAATCTACTTCGAGGAAGTCGTACAGAATACTACAGTAATTAAGCCAACCCCAAACAGATATTGACCCCCTGGGCTTATTACAGGATATGTACAGTACTACTATGAGCATTGATATTCTACTACCAGTTCCATACTTTGTACTTCAACAAGAGATTTTTTTCAAGCATATGTTGAGGTGCATTACTAGCCCATTATGTACCTAACAGCACGGCTTACCTGCATCCATTTCGCCTGGAACATGTGTAACTGTGTTTTATGTGATTCGTAAATGAAAAACAAATGTTTTCACTTGAAGAAGATTTCGACTCCCAGGTCTAGAAGTTACTAAGCTGCTTCTTACCATCTGTCCATCAGCTATGTTTATCAGTGCAACTCAAGATTGCATATTATAGAAACATTTCTTTTTTTCTTTCTTGTAAATGCCCTCAAAGTTTGAAAGCAAGAATTAAATTTTGAAGGTATTTCTTCATGCATCAAATTCAAGTATTGATTTTTCACATGTATGGAAAACAACATATTTTGCCTTTGATTATTGAAATAAGATACCCAAAAAATAATTAAAGTATAAAAGGACAGATCAATTCAAATCTTAGATCCATTATTATTGATTAATTTTATTGATATGGAAAAAAAACATCAAAACAAACAAAAGAAAAGTTCTGAAATATATGTTTATTGTTTTTTTGCAGATTGTGAATCAAATTTGAAAAAAAAAAAAATATCAAAATTAAATAACCATCAAAACTCCATGACATTTACAATATTAATTAGCATCTTCCTTTGTGGTAATAAATGCACGTACTAGTAGTCCATACACATACACATTAGATACACATACACACAAGGACAGGACATGTACATGCATACCTACGTTTTATTATGGGAAGTTGAAGCTGGGAAGGATTAAGCTGATGTTTCCTGATCATTAGTTTTGTGATGTCAGATTTGTGTATTCCGGATATTTGTCAATCTGAATTACACCAGAATGTCTTCATTTCTTGGTCAACTCTGCCAGGTAAAACAGACTGGTCATTTCTATAGACTATATAGTATTATAAATTAATTCTATGTGTAATGGGTTTCTGTCGGCAACCATCTTGACATCTCTGTATCCAACCT